AATTAAAGCAGTGATAAACTCCTTGCCCAGCCGATCAGGTGGCATCATCCCTCAATACTGATGGATCCAGAAAGACAAAGGGGAAAGGGAGGTGGCAGGCAGGGTGATGAGGAGTGACAGCGGCCGGCCAGGAGGGAAGGAGAGCATCGCTGGCACAGGACCTGCTGTGCTGGGGGTGCTGGGGGTGTCCCAGGGCACTGTCACACAGCGGGGCTCACGTAGCAGCTGGGCACAGCAGAGCAGCGAGGGGAAGAGCCCGTTGTGTGCAGCCTCACTCCTTCCTCACCCTTTCGCATCTACACGGCCGCAGGAAACGGTGGCAACCTACCGTCCTCGCACGGGCCCATCCTGGCAACCTCGATGCTCTTCTTTTGCTGGCAGGAGGCCGTCTGCAGTTCGCAGCGGTTGGCATAGGTGCGGCCGTCGCTCCCGCACACCTGAGCAAAGGGCTGCCTCTCGCAGCGGGGGCACATGCACTGCCCACCCACGCACTTGCTGCCGAAGGAACACACCGTGCTGCCGCAGGACTCTGTGGGGCGAGAGGGAAGAACCACCGTGAGATGTTGTAGGGACCTTTGTAGCCAACTGACCAGCATCACAGAGTTGGGGAGTGCTAATGCCATACCCTCTGAGGCAAGGGGAAACGTCCTCCTTCCCCAGAGTGGTTTGTTATCGCTTATTTAAACCATGTAAAGACTCTGCAACGGACAGGTGCCAGTCCTGAGCATTTCTGATTCCCATCAGCACCCACAGCTTTTTTTCTAGGACACCAGCAAGAGATCCCATTTACTCTCACGGTGTATTCTGACTTCAGCCTCCTCCTGCTCACAGTGCCCACGGAGTGCTGACAGTCATCTGTCACGCTCGGTCATTCTTCTCTCCCAAATTTAGAGAGGGCCTCCATGCACACTTCAGCCCTGGAACACCAGACCCAGCTGGACGGGTTTTACAAGGCTCAAAGCGTTGCTTTTACTGAAGTGGCATTTGTCCGAATGAAGAACCTCGGCGGGGCTTTTAATTCATTAAGAAATTAGCACAGACAGTTCCCTGGGCTGGGGAGTGGAGAGGAAACACAGAAACAAAGAGGAATTAACCCCAGGGGATGGAGGGAAGGGAAAGCTACTGATCAATTAGACCCTTGATGCTTTGAGTTCTGGTGGTAGCTATTAACATGGTTTTAGCCCAATTTCTTTGCTTGGCTCAATGGACATTAGCCCAATTTCTTTGCTTGGTTCAGACAAGTAATAAAGAGGGCAGACATCACCTATGATGCACAGCTGGGGAAAGTAAAACACGTGAAAAAGGAGAAGCTGCTTGAAGGACTCAAGATGCCCAATTCTTGTGAAGCCAAAAGGGAAGACCGTGCCAGACAAGATGAAAAGCCTCAGGCAGGGTGGCCGATTGACCAGGCAGGAGCTGCAGCCCAGAGCCAGGCTCCTGGGTGTCCTCGGGCAAGCCCCATTACTCTGGAGCTGATATTCTCCTGGCAAGTCCTGAAAACAACCACTAAAGGCACCAGGAGGAAGGCTAGGGAGACCCTCTGCACACCCCAAACCTGGGGTTTCTCTGGTGCCTCCCAAAGCTGGCAAACCCACGGGCTGCAAGCGCTACAAATGACTGGTGAGCCTTGGACGGCCACGGCCAGGCACCTCAGCGGGACCCAGGTGGCCAACGAGGCTGAGCATCCGCTCTCCGAAATGCCACCAGCAAGAGTGAGACAAGGGAAGAAGGGGACCTTGCCAGACTCACTGCAGTCTCCTTGGGCAGCCACCAAAATGTTCGTCTGCTGCGTGCACGCCCGGACGTGGAGCTCGCACTCGCTGCCGTACGTGTTGCCATCCGTGCCGCACACGGGCTGAGAGGAGGGAACGCACTCCGTGGGGCACACACACCTGCCCGTCTCCGCCTCGCAGATGGCCCCAAACTGGCACTTGCCGCAACGGTCTGGGAAGACAAAGAACAAAACCAGTAAGTTAAAACAATAGGTTAGGCAAGCATTGCTGTCTAATGAACCACAGAATCATAGAACCGTTAGGGTTGGAAGAGACCTCAAAGATCATCAAGTCCAACTGTCTACCCAACGCCACCATGCCACCAAATCATGTCTCAAAGTGTCTCATCTAAATGTTTTTCTGAACACCTCCAGGGATGGTGACTCCACCACCTCCCTGGGGAGCCTGTTCCAATGCTTAACGACTCTTACAGTGAAGAAGTTCTTCCTAATGTCCAACCTGAACCTCCCCTGGCACAACTTGAGGCCGTTTCCTCGTGTCCCATCACTAGTTACCAGGGAGAAGAGACTGACCCCCACCTGGCTACAACCTCCTTTCAGGTCGTTGTAGAAGGCGATCAGGTCTCCCCTCAGCCTCCTTTTCTCCTGTGCCAGAGTAGAAATACAAAATAAAGCAGAAATAAAACCTCACTGCAACCTCATCCCCCAGGCTGAGCCCCTGCAGATGCCGGCAGCCTTGCTGGGAGCAGGAGCCCCAGGGCACAGCGCAAGGGATGGACCGAGGCGAGGGCTGCAGGAGGAGGGAGAGTCAGGCTCGAAGGCAGAAAGGCAACAACTACTCGTAAAAGACGTCAGGGCCAGGAGTAACCGTGATGAAATGTCACCAGAGCTGGATGCTGTTATAGCTAAATAAGAGGTGGGAGACAGCATGGGGCTGAGTGTAATTACGAGGAGCGATAAATCAGTCCCAGCCTTGGGAGGAGGAGTGCAGCATCCCAGGCAGCAAGCGGCCGGTCTCCCAGGGGGGAGAGGCAGCAGGATGCACATATGGCAAATCAGCAAGGGTGGGAAGAGGTGGTTGGCCGGGAAGGGGGATACTGTCTTCCCTTAGTTTCTCAGGGTGCCAGCAGCGCTGGACGCACGTATAACACAGGACTGATTCAAAGCACCCTGTCCCCTCGCCCAGCGGGACCCTCCGCCTGCCCGCTGCCAACACACGCACACCGCACGTGCGCTTGGGTCAGAGAAGACGTTTATCTTTGTAATAACACACTTGCAAAGCAACTATCTCTCCTTGCAGGAGAGACCAGACTCCAGCCAGCACATCCCCTGACTCCTGGGTATTTAGTGATTCACGGCTTCATTTTCCCCTTCAGACAAACACCTCTCTTCCTTCCCTGCCATTCAGTTCATGAGAAATTTGGCTCAAAGATGGTTTTTCTTCTTTTTCTTTCACACAGCAGCTGCTGCCTTCGCATGGGGGAGGGAAAACGCAAGAACCCCCTGCTTGGTTTGTGCAGATTGTTGGCCGGGAGGTTTCTATCTACAGCACAAAGCTTGCAGCCACCCCTGGGCTCTGCAGGTCAGGAGAGGGGCTCTCAAGGCAGCCCCCGCACAGACAAGGGCAGCTCTTTCCTACAGCACACTCACGCGCGTGTGTCCCACAGCCCAAGCATTCACATCCTACACCATTTCTCCTGTAACCGCCTGGAGTTGGTACCGGCATTTTCTTCTTCCTCAGCTCCCCAGGTGGAAGGTTTTTTTTTTTCCTTTTCTGAAGGAAGGGTCTTTCTTTTCTCTGCTGTCTCAAAGCCCTCACCGCTCAGGAGCACGTTCCCCAGGTAGGGCTGTACGGGATCAAGTCCAGCTTTGACAGGACCACTGCTACACCACACATACTAGCCCTGGGTGGAGAGACAGGCACCAGCGCCTGACACCCAGCTGAAGGTTAGGGGCAGAAACACCACCATCAGCTTAGCCCTAGCTGAACATCCCGGCAGATTTTGCCCAGGGCTAACCCAGTTAGCCTGGGCTGTGCCTGTGTGTAAACGCTTTCCGACTGGCAAAGCTGTGCTGGCCGCAAGGGAGAGCCTGCAGATGGAACCGCTGCCCGTGGGCTTCGGTCGCATATGTGCACGGCAGGATCTTGGTAGGGAAGAGGATGAACCCTGCTCCATGGGCGAGCTTACTTCATCCTGCACCAGCCGCCTTCTCACCAGGGCACCTTACAGGGTAAGGTCTGCCGGGGAAGGGGATGGTGCAGGCAGTGGTGCTGGCACGGGGAGGTAACTCGCACCAGCATTGCCCTAAGTCTTTCCCCTTGGTCAGGAAGGCGGCTCTCAGGCTGGTTACTGGCTTCTCTCCCCACATCCCCCTCCTGCTGAGCCTGCTCTGTTTTTAACCCACCAGACAGTGGGAAGAGCAGCCCCCCCAGACCCCCCACGCCATATCGCTCTCGCCCCGCACGAAGTGCCGGTGGGTTTTCTGCCAGACCAAACAGGCAGCACATGAACCGAGCGGGCTCTCCCCTGCCCTCCCGGCTACACGGCAGCAACCAAAGCACAAATACAACCCAAAATCCCTCTCTTTTAACGCATTTGTACTTAAGACATCGCCTGCTCCCAGCAAGCAAACCCGGGCTGCGGCCAACAGCAGGAGAGGGAGGAAACCCCCGGCGATCGGCTCTTACCGCAGGGTCCCTTGTGTTTCACTTTGATCTCTCTCTTGAGGACGCAGGCCATGGAGTCGAGCTCGCAGGGGTTGCCATAGGTGCGGTTGTCGGTGCCGCACACGGGGTCGTAGCGGCCCTGGCACACCTGCTGGCACTCGCACACAGCCTCCTGGTTCTTCACCACGCATGTGGCCCCAAAGGTGCACTCCACGCTCAGGCATGGGCTGGGTGCGCCCAGGTCTGCAGAGGGGACAGGAGAAAAAGGCACTGGTTTCAGTTCACCGCTTGCCCAGCTGCCCAGGGCACTGTGCACAGCAATGCATGCCAGCATCCCCAGCCTCAGGCCCACGCCTGCCTCCCCCAAGCCGTGGCAAATGCACAGAGCTCCTGGCCTTGGCACCAGCCCAGCCCCTGCACCCTCCATGCCATCCCGACATGCCCAGCTCAGCATCTTCCCCATGCTTGGCAGAGGTTAGGGATGGGAAGCAGGCACAAGATTTTTTTCTCCCTGCACACCATGAACGGGATTCCTGCCTCATCTCCTCCATCCCATCCCCATCCCAGCTACGTTCTGTCCCGAGGGGTTGGCCAGAAGTGGGATCAGCCCCGTGGGTTTCTCCACCAAACCCCAATGTCTGGATCTCCCCAGCAGCTCACAGACAGCACCAAGAACAAACGTCATGTGTGGAGGGAGGGCAACGCGGACTGAGGTCCCTCATTGCCAGGAGGAGAGCCGGCACTTCTTATCCCGGGTAGCAGCGATGCCACAAGCCTGCCTGCCAAGTGGGATCTGAATGAGCAGCTTGGTGGGAGCGGGCAGGGCAGGAGGCAGCAGAAAGCCCTCCTCAGCGTGGGTCTCGATGCCTCTGGGACACTCACTACATCGTCACGCAGTACCTGCCACCGGTTGCCGAACCCTCAGTACCCAAAATGCTCATACCCGGATAGTTCCCTTTCACTGAGACCCACAACCTCAGAATCACACTGTCCACTGAACGGCTCATCCTGAGAGCCCCTGTGGCAATACCCAGGAAGACCTGGCTGGAGAGGACACCTGCAGTTGGCATCACCACACAGCCCATCTCTCTCCTCTCCCCAGCAGCTCAGCTCCCTTCCCCTCCTCTCGCAAGCTGGCGTTGGAAATGCCAGGGAGCTGCTGTGCGGTGGGATGAAGAGACCTGGTGTCCTTGCTTCATCCCAGACCTCGAGCATCTGGCTCCAGCAGAGCCCTGAGGTTCTCTGGGGATGGGCAATGCCCCACGGCATGGGTTACAGGCTGAGAGGTAGCAGTCCCCTCTGCTCACAAACCAGAGCTGCTTAATCAAAGTCAGCCAAGCTGGTGGTACCTTCCCTGTAAGATGCCTGGCAGCGATGAGGTGAGCAGCCAGCCCTGATGGAGACAGCAAAGAGAAAAGGCTGCGTCCGACTCCCTGGTACAGCTCTGCAACTGCTTGCAGGGAAAGCCCTGGGGTTCCACCCGGTTCCCAGCCCGCTTGCTGAAGGCAGACATGCCCCTTCATCATGAATGCCCTCCACCAGCCCAAAGCCAAGCCAGGTAGCTAAAGGACTGGTCGTGCTGCTGGGGAGAGACCCGGCACTACCCAGCAACCCCTTCTTGTGCCTCAAGATAAAAGCCCTGAAGACCTGGGGCAAGGAAAGGACCCAGATTTAATCCGTGCTGAACACTGACAAGGACACATGATAAAACAGAATGTGGGGAACAGACATTGTGGCCAAGACAAGATGGATGCGACAGGCAGACACAACACAGTCCCATCAACACTGAACAGGGAGGCAGGCACGGAGCCGGAGGGCGGTGGGAAAGACAAAGCCCTCCAAGAGCCTGCTGGCATGGCAGAGGGCACAGGGCAATGGATCTGTTTTCCTCCCTTGCTAGGACCAAGGTGCCATATCTGCAAAGCAAGATACGGAGTCTGGCTGCATGCTGTCAAGCAGTGAGAAAACGGTCCATTGCGTGGGCACAGGCAAGCTTGAATTTTGGATTTGGCTCTTTGGGAAGCACCCACCAAGTCAAAACTTAGAGCCAAGGGTCTGCAAAGGGACAGAAAAGAGGAGGACAGTTCAAGCACATCTTCAACCCAGCCTTTTCAACTGTGTCCTCAACCTCCCTGCAGCTGAAGAGTTTGTGAGCAGCTCCCAAGGACCAGGAACCGCTCCCTGCTCTGCTTAGCCCTGTGATGCTGCTCACATCTCCTGCTTGTGTTTCGCTTTTGTAAGACAACACCTGTACCATAATCACGTCCCCCAAACACACAGAGACACATGCTTGCATGGAGAAAGCACCTCTTCTGGACACAATTAGGCAGTAAGGATGCAACGAGCTAGGCGTGAAGCAAGTACATTCACTCCTTTGAAATCCAAATTCACATTCGTGTCTTGGGGAGCAAGGGAGCAGCGAGTGAGAGCGCAGGGAGGTGCCAGGTCTGATGGAGAACAGTGCCCTGACATTCCTTGCCCTTCTTATGCAGGCAAACCTGCAGAGATGCAGCACATGAAGTTCCTTCACAGCCTGAATCTCAGCCTGCGAAATGTCACACACAGCCTTGGGCACCTGCAGACGTCAATGAGGGTTTTGGCACCACGTTTGGTGTGGGTGGATATAACGAGGACCTACTGAGGAAGGACCTTAGGCTGTGCTATAACCAAGACCTGCTTTGGTTCCTGGCCCTTCTCCATCTTGTAGGCAGGGAAACCGAGGCACAGAGCAAGCAATGCACTCATTCTGCACCCTAATTGATTCAAGGGCACGATCCCTCACCTGCTGCCGAGCTTTGCAGAAACCTAACCAAGCCCTGAGACCTGGGGACACTGAGCTCTCCCGCAAGCCCCACCTGCGGATGGCTATGGAGAAGAGATTCTGAAGCTGCTTTGTAACCCATCATGCCCCATCGATCTGTGCCCAGGACACCCAGCGGGCTCCGGCACCGGCTCCAGAGGGGAGTGTTCCTAGGGAAGAACCACATCTGAGCACCGACAGCTCCTCGGTGCTTCCAAAAGGCACAGGGTGCTTTGCTGGATGCTGGGGAGGGGAGCTGCAATCCCTGCAGAGCCCCGGCCCGCTGGACTTGCACAGACAAGCGTTACACACACTACGGAGAGCAAAGGGACAAGCATCACAGTCCCAGGCAGGCAGAAGTCTCTGGGAAGGAGGAGGTAGGGAAGAAAGGGCAGTTAGTTGGGAGCAAAAGGAGAGGTAAGATCAACCAGGAGCAGTCCAGACTGATGTATCAGCTGAAGAGGGGCTTGCTAAGGAGTGGGGGCTCACAGCACCCACCTCTACTCCCACTCTCCTTTGCCTCGAAGGGTCAAGCCACGGCAAGCATCGGACAAGACCCCACTGCACTGCAAGGCTTTTCCATTCCAGCAGGAAGAGTTTGGGGTGAGGGATGGGAGCAAAACCAGGGCAATCTCTCCATCCCGGGGGCTCTCAAGCAAAACTAGAGAGGTGGGGAGCAGTGAGAAGAGGCCAGGATTGACCCTGGCTACGGAGAAGGGGAGAAAGCCGACCTCCTAGCAGAGATGTCCGGGTAGGGAGCAGAAGGGTGCTGCGAGGACACAATTCCTTCCTCCAAACAGGCAACACTGTAAAACACAAGACACAGACGAAAAAGAAAAGACAGAGAGAGAGAGCGGAGGGAGAAAGAGAGCGGGGAGGGGGAAGAGAGCAGAGAGAGACAGGGAGGAAAAGACAGATGCAACTACAGACACCTTCCCTCCATCTCCTGTCCACATCGGTCTCATCCCATCCCTTCTTTCTCAGCTGCATCAGCACGGCGTCAAAGTAGAGAAGGATTAAAAACAAGGCCTGGACTGTTTTGTTTGGCTTTGCCTCCTTTGCCTTTCTGTTGGAAAAGACAGCAGCAGAGCTTGGAGTTCATTAGGCAGCTAACGTGCGAGAGATTAACACACTGCTGGCGACTAACATCACCCTCCCATCCCACCCCCATTTCTAAACATTTCCCATCTCGCATTGAGTCTAAACTGGTGACACAGAGGAGGACGTGCTTTCTTTCCAAAGGGCAGCACCGAGCTCAGGGCAAAGATGCTTTCTTAAGCTGATGGGGAGGCCGAAGGCTTGCGCACACCTCGTGGTGGTTTGCTGCAGGGCCCGCCTGGAGCCGTCATGTGCACTTTGAAATCCTAGGCTTTGGCAGACATAGCCCCAGCTTTGATTTACTTCACCCCGATTATGAGCTTTGTTTGCTCCTACCCCCCAAGGACGTAGCTCCTAAAAGCAGATGTGCGCATCTCCTGTCCTCGCCTGGAGGAAGAGAAGTTGGGGGGAAGCTAAAATAGAAGGGAGGAAGATGGGAGAGAGAGGAACAGCCAATGCTTAAGGACCGTATCCTACCATCCACTGGCTTCACTCCACTGAATGCAGTGGAAATGATGCTCGTCCGACAGCAGGGTAAGGAGCAGCACGAGTTCTCTGCTCACCCTAGAAATTTGGGAAGCCTGACTCTAAAAGGAGGTATGGGGAAGGGTTCGTACAGAGCCCAGGGCACCAGGGTCCGGCCACCCAGCTGCGAACAACCACCTCCTGGCCCCGCTGCCTCGGGAGCCCAGCCACAGGCACCTCTCTTTGCCAGCGCCGAGGCAGCCCGCCTTGCCAAGAGCAGCCCCCTGTGCTCCCATGCCAGCCCCAGGCTGGTCATACCTCCAGCAAAGCTCCACAGTGGCACAACAGGGCAGGAAAACGAGCACCAGACTTGCCGGCGTGCCCGGCTTCCCAGCAAGGCTTCTGGTTGCCATCCAGCACCAGGTCCCCGTGGCCCGGGCAGAAAGAGGAGCGCAAGGTGCCTCTCTTGCCCTCCTTGAAGGGAGAACTTGGGGAATCGGCTCCTAATCATTCCACCACCAGGAACACAGTGAAAGGGACGATTAAAAATAACAGTTGTGGTTATATTGAGTGTGATCTTGGGAGCCTGACAAACGGTTTTCAAGGAGCTGGGGCTGGTAGCGTTAAAACCCTACTACAGGAGCTCAAAGCCAACAAAACAGATCCGCAGCACGGGGCCTATTTGCCAAGTATTTCAAAAGGTTTGATACAGCCGATACCTTATAAAACATCAGCTTAAAATAATAGGACACAGTTCTAGATCTAGTAAAAACCAGTTCGGGCTGAAATGAACAGTCCTTCCAACTTGTACAAATCAATCCAGCAACCGTGTTTAACCTCCTTCGTTTTCTGTGCAATAATTTTAAAATTGGACGTTCCCAACATCCTAGGGACCTGAAGGCCCATCCTATCACATACGCCTGAAAAAGCATCCATTGGAAAGGTCAAAAGCTTTTCCCAGAGACGAGACAAAGCCATGGCGAGACTTCCAGAGAGCAGGCACGCTGGGAAGAGTTCCTTACGGAGAGTACCTGGAGCTGAGAGAAGCAGGCGGGCATGGAGGGGGGAGCATGGAAGGGGCTTGGGGACTGGCACTACCCTGGGAGGAGAAATGAATGGCGTGGGCTGCACGGGAACTGCGTGGTGGTGAACGTGCACCTGGCCGTGACAGTGAATGAGAGAAACCAGCTGCACATCACAGACACTTTGGTAGCGTTTAAACACAAATGAGCCTTCGCCGTGTTACTGAGCACATCAGAGACAAGACCAAGGAGGAACACACGCGCGCGCACACACACACACGAAGACTGCTGACTGCTGGAAGGAAAAAGAACAGGAAGGAACAGATATTTAGGGCTTGTCGGCCGCAAGATCGGAGAGAACCTGTGGCTTGCTCAAATGCTGGGCACCCCCTCACAACTTACCTGCAGCTTTCCAGCATCAACGCGAGCGCCGTTGCCTGCGCGGAAGGGACTGATGCAGGCTGGGCTTAAAGTGGCTGCTGAGGCTGGGAAGTGAGAGGTGTGGGGGTACCAGTGTTCCTGGGGGTAACCAGCCCGACGGCACCGGTGCTTACCACAGGGTCCACTGTGCTTTACTGGGATGGCAGCTTTCTGGTGGCACTCGGCCTTCTGGCGCTCGCAGTCGTTGCTGTAGGTCCGGCTGTCCCGGGCACAGATGGGGCGGTAGGCACCGTCGCAGGTGATGCGGTCACAGGAGCAGCGAGCGGTGCCACGGCGATTCAGGCAGACAGCGTTGAATTTGCATTCATCCTTGCATTTGTCTGGGAGGAGAGAGGATAACACCACCGCTCGCACCCACCTCGGGGACAGGGGAGTGGGGGTATACTCTTATTGCCAAGAGCATGGCACGGAGCAGCGGGGAAGATCAGGAACCTGAACAGTCCTGTTCCCCAGGACACAGAGAGGTACTTACCCTGAGGCTGGCACTGCCCTGAACGCACCTTCTGGATCTCCAGTCCCCGGATGGCCCCTGAACGCCCCATCACGCACTCATTGTCATAAGTCACCCCGTCGTCACCGCACACAAGCTCCCTCTTTGGGGGACAGTTCTCGGGACGGGAGAGCAGGTCTGCTCTTCGGGTGCGGGGGTTCACCCGGCAAACGCGATTCATGTCGTTGAGGACACCTTTACAAGGGTCTGCGCACAGAGGCAGAGCAGGTCGTTAGGCACACTTATGTCCTACCCGGCAGGGTGCTCCCTGGCCTGCCCTCCTCCTGCCCAGTTGGCCCCAAGAGCCCCCATACCATCCTCAGCATCACCTGAGCTCTTCCTCAAGACTGGATTATCTGTAGGGCTCCGCACACGTAAAGACTCATTTTTTGACTGAGCTGCACACACTGAGGACATGTGTCTTTTCCAAAGTGACCGCCGGATGGGATGAGTTCTGCCCTTTTTCCCCATCCCGAGCTGCCTTCACCCCCCTCTATCTAGGGGACAGGGCTCTCCCCTCCTCATCCAGGCAAACCTCCCGAGTCCAAAGGGCGTTTGCTGGGCATGGTACCCCCATCCCACTCCCCCCACTCTCCCTCCCTGACTTCCCAAAGTGCTGGAAAGCACGCTGCCTTGCCCCACCACTCTAATCTAGGCTTAGACAGATCCCCCTCTCTGATGAGCTGAGCTCACATGAGCATCCCAAAGACATGGGCAAAACAGGTGCCACTGCTCACTAATCCCCACTCTCGCCCTAGGTTTTTCTCCTCCTTGCCAGGCACCATGCCTGGGAGTGCTGATTCATTGTCCGCAATTGCAGAAACGCAATCAAATGTTTCTTCTGCCCTTTAATCCTACCAGTCTGAAACCCCTGCATTGACCGCAGTCCCAGGCTGACACGGGGAGGAAACAACACAGTCCCCCATTTCCCCTGCCTCTCGCAAGCAGGCGAGGGACCTCCCTTTCAGCCACCCCCCCGTCCCTTGGAGAAGGCTGGGCTAGGACGCGGTCACAGCTGAAGTCTTTTGCTTTGTCCATTTTTAGCACATGCAGTAATCACGGAAATGAAGAAGATGAAGGCGCTCCCGCAGGACCTATCCAATCCATCTCCCATTCACCCCTCTGGCAAGAGCTGCCCGTGTTCACTCCTGCCCTGCAGTCACAGCAACAGCCAGCCAGGGATGGGTTATCTCCTCGGAGGCCTCTCCAAACCCCAACAAAAATCACAAGAACATCTGGCGTGGACTCAAGGAGCTGTGGGTAAATAAGGCTGCCGTAGCGGGGCAGGGATGTGGTACAGTTGAGGAGGTGGGGACCGCATCAGAGGGGCTGGGGCTGGGGCAGATGCACAGACACATCGCAGGGAACGCATGATGAGGATATTCAAGATGTGCACTGTGCGTTCCCACTCTCTCCCCTCCCTCTCCTCAAGCCCTACAGCACACCCAACGGAGTCCAGATTCCTTCAAGAATTTTCAGGTTCTTGCTCAACACAGACAGTCTGAATTTCTGCTGATGCCCAGCTAAAATCAGGAGGACCTCAAAGGAGCAGCGAGGCTCGAACCCTATTCTCTGCCCTAGAAACCTGGAGCGCCCAGCGTGGCATCACCTCTTTTGCACCTCCCACTTGCACCCATCTCGCCCTACTTGGGACTGAGCAGTCAAACCGCAATTAAAGCTCTTCCAGGATTGCAGCCTGCCCAAAAAACCCCCCACGCTCCTTCCTCCGGGGACAAACACTGCTCTGGCACATGCCCTGACTGATCTCACGGCTTTCCTAATGAATACGGTTGCTTTTAATTACCAGTAGCCACAGCCACCATTAGCCAAAGAGGAAGTCATCCTCGGAGTGGCAGGGGGATGATTGT